TTTATATATACGTATGTATGTGTGTGTATGAGTATGCACGCGCGCTTGTATACATATTTATAAACAATATAGATGTGTGTGTGTGTGGTTTGCGCGCATGCGCCGCATATATTTCAATATACAGTTCTACGTCATAACGCCGAATAATATTGACTTTACTTTCGCAATCAACGCATTACACCGTTTCGCCATGCGATGCGATGTTTACGCAATCTGACGTTTATTGCTCCATTCCAGAAAGGATGCGAAAATTTTTGATATCGGGGGGCGTTCGCGTGGGTGGTTTACGCGTCCATGTTCTTGTCAAAAGAAAAAAAAAGTTCGTTTCGGAACGTAATAGAGCTCGCGCGCATGCAATCTGTACGGGGCAAACGCGTGGCAAACTGGAAAGCTGCGGCATCAAAGTTTCAGGATGCATAATTTCGGTGTACCGGTATCAATGGTAACGCGGTAGAGAAACACACGTCACAAGTTACGCCGCATACGTCGTGATACGCAATTGCCGTTGGCTGTACGCGCATTCTAATTAATATATAATTCATGTAATTAATATATGAATGTAATCGCGTACGCCCGCGCGCACACTCGGGGACTCGTTGCATGCCCGTCGCGACCAATCGTAACAGGAAACGCAGTGAGGGGGAGCAACATCTGGCTTTGCCTGTAATTGTATCAATGCCGTGTTTCGAAGTGTGGTGACGCGCTTCCGCGAGAGGAGATTTCGCCTCGGCTAAATTTATGGTAACGATATTCTAACGAAATCAGCGCGAGTCGCCGTGGGAATTCACCGACGATCAACTTTTACGTAACGAGTCATCATCGGTCGTCAGTGCCGCCAGATTAGCCTTAGCGTGGTGAAACGCGGATCTAATCTGCCATCTGCCTTTTTTTCTTTTTTTTTGCCGGAGACGCGCGATTTCTCGTATCTTTCGCAACGCGGAGAGTCTTAAAAATCCGTGAAGAAGCCGCGAGAGAAATATTTCCTCAGCTCCGAGATCGCGTCTCCCGAGAATTGTATGTTAATAGTCTCGCCTTTATTAATTCTAATGATTATCGTAAAATTATTCTAGCGCTTCCTAGCGCTGTCACTTAAATTAATGACGTATAATAACGTATTCAGTAAAACCGCCGCCGCCGGTTACATCGAGAATCGATGTAACCGGTGCTACTACCACCTTCCGTCGCGAAGCCAGGAACAGCTTCATGCATGAAACATCGATTCAGTCGCAAATACGCTTTAATGTATCAAAGCGATCTCTGCCTATCGTAGATACCGCGCGAGTAGTGACTGTTCGAATCCATCCGCGCAAACTATCAAGTCTTATCAAGATGAATGCCCATGTAATGAATAATGTGTGAATTATCGAGAAAGCAGATCAGGCAGCTATAGAGATGGACTTACATCGACAGTTAATTGTCTAGTCGGTGACATCAACTTCCCGCAAGATTTGCAAGCGATTCGAGCGATCTTCTAAACGGCCATTCAATTACCTTGCGATTATCTCCGTTCGTACTGTCCATGATAACTGTCCGAATCTGTAACCGTTATCTATAATAATCCATTCCAATAATCCATTCCTGGGGG